GAGGCGGCGGGAGGCGTGAGCAGAGGACCTCGGTCCCCGCGCCGCACCTGCCAAAATCGGGCGCCGGGGCCGCTGCCGGCGCGCGCCCGTGCGCGTGTGAGTGCGTGCTTCCGTGGGGGTCGGGCGCCGCCTTCACGGACGTTCTTCTCCTGGGGGTTTTTGTGGTGGTTTTTGTGTTGACACATGCTGCCTGTCAGTTGTCTCCTCCAGACGAAGCAGGAAGGGGCTCTTATCTCGGGCCCAGCGTTCCTGGCTTTGTGATCACGGACACCCACTCTGGGCGACGCGGGCGGCCTGCCTGTGTGTGCCCCAGCCCTAAATAGCAGGCGGCGATCGCGGGCCCACCTCCCGCCGGCGTCACGTGACGATTTATTCCCAGGCAGCATCTTTCACAATCCCTTCATTTTCTTTTTGATTTGTCTCAATGCAAATTTAGATTTCGGTCTCTGCGGCAGCGCAGCTCGCTGCACCAGGCGTCGGTGAGGCTGCGCCTGCGTCCTTGCTCTCCGGGGGCCAGCTGGTGTTAGAGACCAAGGTTTTGGGGAAGGGTCAGGAGCGCCAGGGCACTGCTGCCCAGCTGGGCTGCAGAGGGAAGGAGGTGGGAGGCCACCTGCACCGTGGCTGTCCCGCATCGGAAGGGTTCCGCTGTATACCAAGCCGCTAGGCGTAAGCCCGAGAGGCACAGGTTCGGCTCTGGCCGGACGTCGGCCTGCGGGAGGCACAGTAACAAGCTCTTCAGTACCAGTACCCCGTCTTCCTGGGCCAAGGGCCTTTTTTCTTCTCCCCTTTCGATTGCCGAATAAGCGATCTATTTATTGAAAGCTTGTTCCGCACCTTCTGAATTTCCAACCGTCCTCCCATATTTTTCAGCAAAAAGTCAGGGAAGCAGGTCTGCCGGTGGGCTGGGCACCAGGCCTGGTGCTACACACCTGGCCTGCTGCCGGCACAACCTGAACGCGTTGTTTTGTTAGGGTTATTTCTCACCCAAGTTCAGGATTTTTCCGTGGAAACTGGCTTTCCTTTCAAGGGTGGTGAAAGGACCCTATCTCTTAGCAAGAAGATTGGGGGAAGATTGTATTTAGCACAGACTCAGACGAAATAATGATAGTCTTATTAAAAGGAAACGTCTTTTCTGGAATACTTTATTTTTTATAAAGGAATCAATTTTATACAACAATAAAATTGCTACAAATCCACAGTACAAATATTGCTACTAATAATAACCAGCACTGCTCACTGTCTTTGTTTTGTGTAAGAGGCAGTACATAGGAAGAGAAAAGTGGTAGCATTTCGGTGTGCGACAGTGTTTCTGTTTAATTCTTCGCCCTGTTGGTGTTTGACAGCATCTTGTGTCGAGGTGAATTCGGTCTCAAAAGTGACTAAGCAGATTGTTCAGTGGAACAGCAACACGGAATGGTTCTCGCTGGAAATGTATTTTAGGGTCTACAGATTTTAACTTCCCAAGTTTATATCAGAGGACATAGTTAATTTTTAAAAAGAAGAGCAACATTTTCTTCTCTTTCCCTAAGCTAAATAATGTGGTTCAGTAGCTCATTTAATATGTTTCCGTTTCTTTCTGATACATGGCTTTTGTGCTTCTGTGTCTCACTAGGAGACCGACTGCTCTTCAACAGCTAGTTTTTCTGGACACATCTCTTTGCTAATATGTTTCAACTGAGGTTGTGCAAGAATTTTGTAACGTGCTAAGTCTGTGTATTTGCAACAGAGGGATTTATATGCAAGAATGTAACTGCTGTTTGGATGTTTACTATGTATGAATGGCCTTGCAAACATTTGAGGAATCAGGATTTGTCAATGGATTGTATCAGTCCTTTGGAAAGTGTAAAGGCTTTCCACTTTAGTATTTATCCTGCTCATTAAACATATTGATTAAATAGTTTCTTTTCAGAATGCTCATTTGGGGGGAGATTTTATATAGCGTACAAATATAGCAAAGCGGACTACCATTACATAGTAAGAATTCTTCTGGAAAATACATGAATTGAATTAGTGCTATTTGCAAAAATATGTAGCAGGTACAAAGACACTCCAGGGATTTTCATTTAAATATAATTATGTTGAAGAAATACAA